ATCTATCTATCTATCTATCTATCTATCTATCTATCTATCTATCTATCTATCTATCTATCTATCTATCTATCTTCTCCCTCTCCTTCCCCTCTCTCCTTCCAGTGTAACCTACGATATTAAGAGGTTGTGCAAATACCAACAGAACCAAACTCGCACCTAATCCCACATAAGGTCATCCAGATTCTACATCTGCTTCCTTTGAACAAGTTTTGGGGACATCTTTGGAGAGATCTTCGCTGGGTTTGGACCATAGCACCAAGGGTGATGGTCTCCTGTCCCTTTGGAGAGAAGAGGACACCAAAATGCCACTGTAGGCATATGGCAGTGCCCAGCAGGCACAACAGAGCCGCAAGGGAGAGGTTTCTTTAACCCTTGACATCATTTATTTCAGTAGGCAACGGTTTAGCAGGGGGGGGGGTCAAATGTTTTTGGTGCTTAATTCTAGCTGGCATGCCAAAAAAACAAAAACCCAGGAAAATCAACCTACCTACAATTGACATGATCACAACCACCATATCAAAAACATTCCACCCATTGATAAAATAGTAGTGTCTCAGGGCCACCAGTTTCAGGGCACACTCAGTTGTGAACAGGGTGATAAAGAGAATGTTGATCTTGTTCAAGACTTGAACCTTCTCCTGAGACTGGTCATCTGCCTCCACCATCATCGTAACCATATTAAGGCAGATGAGGCTCATGATGGCGATGTCGAACACTTGGTGAGTCACAATATCAAAAAGGAATCCTTGGTACTTGTTCTAGAGGGAGGAGGAAGAAGAAGAAGAGGAGGAAACATGCTTGTTCAGGACTTACTATAAGATTACTTATCAACGGACGAGATTTGTAGCTCAGGGTTGAAACCGTGAACCCCGGGGAGCTCTCTGGATTTGGTCACCTTTTTGCAGTTGTTTCATGACCCAACTAGGTAATATCATCAGTGGTAGAAGGGAAGGGGTTTGCTGAGAGGAGGTGGTGGGGATGGTAGTGGTGGTGGAGGAGGAGGAGAGAGGGAAGGGAGGAAGAAGGGAGAAGAGGAGGAGGACAACTACAATAACAACAACAACGACTGTGGGAGGGGTCTTTTGTGCTCCTGAGAGGAAGTGGTGGGGATAGTAGTGGTGGTGGTGGAGGAGGAGAGAGGGAAGGAAGGAGGAGGAGAAGGAAGGAGGAAGAAGGGAGAAGAGGAAGAAGGGAGAAGAAGAGGACGACAACTACAATAACAACAACAACGACTGTGGGGGCGGGGTCTTTTGTGCTCCTGAGCTTGTTTGCTTGCAGATATTTGATGATGTTACCTAGTTAGGTAATGCAATGTCTTTAAGCAAACGATCAAGCTCAGACAGTGCCAGGGACCGTTTTCGCTGTCTTTGTAACTTCAAACAGTCTCTAAATGAACTGTTGTAAGTTGAGAACTACCTGTATTACAGGAGAAGTCGTGATGCAAAAGAAGGAAAAAAAACTTATTTTTAGGGCAGAAGATCATTCCTCCAATCCTGAATTGTTTGTTGATGAAAAATTTGATTTTCCTGTCTGTAATGAAATTTATGCCACTTCTAATGGATAATCTTAACCCTAAAATTCATTGGCTACCTCCCCATCTGGATTACTGCAATGTGCTCTACATGGGGCTGCCCTTAAAGGCTACCCAAAGACTTTAATTTTCATAGCAGGGCCACCTAGGTTCCCCCGTGTAACTATGTTATGTGAGTTGCACTGATCTGAGGTTTCAAGGATTAGAATTCTATGATTTAAAAATTGGCTTCCAACTTTGTAAAATGTAAAGCAAAAGGCTAAGGTTGTATTATCTTTGTGATCTACTGCATTTCCCCCCCCCCCCAAAAAAAGAGTCAGGAATCATTTTCTCTCTCTCTCTCTCTGCTTACCGCTTTCTCTTTCCTTTTCTTGTTTTCCCTAATTTTTATTTCTTCTATATTTTTATCGTATAATGAAACTTAATAAAAATGGATCTACATCTGTCCATTAAACATGACTAATAACAGAATAACAGAGCTGGAAGGGACTTTGGAGATCTTCTAACCCCCTGCTCAAGCAGGAGACCCTCTTAGCATTTCAGATAAAGTAGATTGATTTGAAGTTGGTAGCCCTATTCATTTTTGCAAGGTTATTCTACGGCAAACCTCCGGAGAGTATGCTTACCATTGGCCTTGGAACAGGCTTTTGAGGTTTCTTTGATCCCAGTTTTTTCATAGCATTATAGTACTTTTTTTGTTCTTCTGTCATAAAGATGTCTTCTCCACCGAAGTACAAGGAGAAAGCACAACAAATATTACTGACAGTGCATTTTGCATTGTTTCAAAGCCAACATTCTATTTTCGAAACATCACTCGTGTTTCTTTCTTTCTTTTTTTTTCTGAAGTCATGCTGAATTATTACAAACAAATCAAAAACTCTTTGCTGATCCTATTGAAATCCTTAAGTTGTCCTAAAGCTAAGTTGTTCCTTGCTCCAGATTTGCTATTTTGGGAACTAAGAATTAAAAACATGAAAATGTTTTCATCCCAATGGTGTTTGCCTCCTAATATACATGCTCCAATTTTACTGCCCTATAACAGAACTGAAATTTTCCCATTCCATCCCACCCACCCAAAAAGGAGAGAGAGAGAGAAAAAAAAAAAAAACTCAGAAGGTTTTCTTCTCTGACATTCGCAGAAAACTGAGCATTTTTCAAAATTTATTCCAAAACTGGAGAGGAAGAATCTGCAAGTACTCTGTGTAAAAAAAACTAAGTTCCTTTCTGCTAACAGGAGAAAAAAATGAATATAAATTGACTTCTTGATACCATTTCACCAAGGAAGGTCAATCAGGGATGGCACCCTACTAACCCTTGAGATTCTCTTTTCCATTCAGCACAAAGCAAGGCAAGAAATGTGGATACTTATCTTTTTCTTTTGTTGATTAAAATTGTCAATAATAACCCCCACAAAAAGATTCAGAGTGAAAAAAGAGCCAAAGATGATGAAAATCACAAAGTAGATGTACATATATTTGCTGTATTCCCATTTTGGTTGAAGCTCAACCTGCAAAAATGGAGAACAGAGATATGATTTTTAGACTGGAGGGGGGGAAAAAAGACCCTTTATAACTAGTCAAGAGCTGTGCTTGCTAGAGAAGATCTCCTTATGGTGTGATCGGATATATGAATCAACACAGATATTAATATTTTTCCGCAGGCCGCAATTACATAAAGATGAGTGCTGTCTCTCATTATCTCAGACCAATTACTGTGAGACATGTAGAAACGGGAAGCAAACACTTCAACAGTCCCTATTATCTAATCTCTACAGATAGTCCTCGGTTTACGACTGGTTGCTTAACACTGTTCAGAGTTATGAGAGACCCCCCCCCCAAAAGATACCTATCATCCAGATTCAAAGTTCCAACATCTGGGGGCCCCATTCCTGCTGTTTTGTATTTGCATTTTGGGCAGTTGGCAACTGGCAACTGTCCCACGGGACTTTTTAAGTCATCTAGTCCAACCCCTCCACCACCATCACCCAAGCAGGAGACCCTACACCATTTCTGACAAATGGCAGTCCAATCTCTTCTTGAAAGCCTCCAGTGATGAAGTTCCCACAACTTCCAAAGGTAATTTCTGTTCCATGGGTTGATTGTTCTCATTGTCAGGAAGCTCCTCCTTATTTCTAGGTTGAATCTCTCCTTGTGTCAGCATTCCAAATATCATCCAAAATTAAATCAGGGTTC